AAGCAATCAATTAAACTCTTAATTATCGTATTCTATAGCCTGATAAAGTAGATTCCATATAAAATCTATATAGCTAATCCCAGATCTGTTTTAATTCCTTCTTTTTTCTTCAAGACTACTATATTATGTGTTTTCCATCAAATTATATCTTTAGTGATGGATTAAAAAATGACAAAAATTTTGGTCTTAATAAACGAAATTTACAAAAAAAAAAAGAAGTTAAACCATCTAACGAATTCATAAGGCTAGAATAATTTCATGATCATATATAATCAACCTGTGTGAGTATCTTAAATAGTAAAAATATCTTGCACTTTCGTGTATTATTGATTAGATATATGATTTGAATATATAACTATTGAATGTGTGTGTGTCCATAAAATACTAAGCAAAGAACTATATCCATATATTTTGCTTTTTGTTCTTTTCCCTTGAATAAGACTGATGATGATAAGCCCATTTCCAAATATACAATTTGGGCCTAAATCACACCACAGAAACAAAACAAAAGTTGTTCCTCAATTGCCAACTTGCCATTGTAAGTAGCTTTCTAATAATACTAATAGCATAACTAATTAATTATACTGATTTACACACAAACCAGCGAGAGACACTGATGGTGTAATATGTCAAGTGTGCTACTTTACAATTTGTTATGCCATAAGAATCTAATTTTCTAACCACAATACGTTTAATAAGTGCCATTACATTGAGATTAATAACAAACATACAGTATATAAGAATAAACAAAGTAATTACTAGTACATTTGCAAGACATCGTTTTTACATCGTATGTAATGTACGGATGGTTGGTTGGTTGGTTCCTGAGATGCTACTTGGAATCTGAAAGGGCCAATCACCGAATTTGGTCGACAAAGACGAGAGAAAAAAGGAAGAAAGAAGATGCTCTCTCTCTCTCTCTCTTTCTTCTCCAATGGACAATTTTGGGAGTGTGAAGAATAAATTAAATAATAGTAATAAAAATGGGGAATGGCAGAAGAGTGTAAATAAGGTGTAAGTAGGTGGGTTTGTTTTGTCTAGAGACTAGAGAAAACTTGCTAAAGGTTCGTGGACAACTGAACATAGAGATAAATCGTGTTATGGGGATTTGAGAGCGAAGAGAGAATACTGGTAATGTTTAAGTGTTATTTTCCCTTTATATCCTTTGATCCTTCTGATATCATTTTCCTACTATAATTTTCTAACCAAACAAAAATACTTTCCCATCTAGAATCGATGATCTTTTAATCTTATATTTTTTTCAAAATTATATTATTTTCTCATAAATTTATACAAACTAAACAATTTATATCATACAAATGATTTTTTATTTGTTGAATTGTGTTTATATAGACATTAAATAATTTATTTATTTAAAAATAAGCAAAATTTAATAACTTCTTAATTAATGTATGTTTTCTTAAAAAAAAAAAATTTCTAAAACTGCGAGAATAGCAAATTATTTGTACACACATTTTATCTGTATATCTTACACAACATTAATACACTGATTAATTTTGTCAGCTTAGAAAATCTTGTTGTGCTAGGAAATACTACTAGAAAGTTTTCTTTTTAGATTAGGTTGTCCTTGTGATATAGCCTCTCTGACCTATGATTGCTCTTTGCTTGGATCCTATAAATATACAGTTATAGGCAGTATCAATGTATTAAATCATGTACTGTATATATATATATATATATTAATTTACAAGTATTTTTCAATTTAAATTAGTAGAAAATAAAAGAAGTATAAATTGCTTTGTATATACGGTATTTTATTTATGGAACATATTTGATCCAATCATGTTATTATAAGGCGTCGTAGTAGGTGGACGACGCTATGCAAAGGTTTTTCAGTTTTTTACACGCTATGTAAAGTTACTTTTCGACATCTGTTTATCTTCTTCTTCTTTTTTTTTTTTTTTTGGTTTTTACTTTCTTTAATAGTTTTGTTTTAGAGACGTTCTAGATGTCTTAATAAATATTAAATGTTAAATATATAATCTGATCTACAAAGCTTTTCATATCATAAATTTTCCACTAAGATCAATTTAATAATACGCGTTACATTGTTTGTTTGTTTTGTCGCTATACACACACATGTTTCAGAACAAACAAATACTTTTTTTTTTCCTTTTTTGTTAAGAAAGCTTTGATGATTAAATTGTTGACAAACAGTCAGAGTCTTTCTTGTCAACAAATTCATCAAAAAAACTATATAATCCGAAATTCACAATGTTATTAATTAACTTTTTTAATCAGATGTTTTTTTCTCTCGTAATTAGCTTATAAGTAATTAATTACTTATATATATATATATATTTAAAATGTGTTCTATAATGTTATCAAAAGAGTGACCCTACGAAAATGGGGGAGTCCACAAGAATCAAATAAGGGACCCAAGAAAGACTCGACCACCAATCACCTGTGATCACTCACATACTTAAAACCTATGATCTTTGTTTGCCTTAACGGCAGGTGTCATCTTGAATCTCGATCCCATCACTCTCAGAGATTGAGATACCTTTCTCACTCATGTACCCCACCCACCTCTGCACCAGTCTTGCTCAGTCGACAATTTTAAGCTGCCCGTACTCGACAAAAGCTCAAGAATACACATTTACAATGATCCCGTTAAGCTGCCTGCCTCTAAAAAGGCCCAAAGGGCCTTACTCCCACAAACACATAGGTCACGTGATCTGAACGGTGGGAGAAACGCTTTCTTTTACACTTTAAAGCCTATTAAACACACTAGAAAGGGCCTTAAAGCCCATATTAAAACGCCTTTCCTTTTTGCGCTTTTTCCGATCGTCGTCACTCGTCACCTATCGCAAGATCCTCCTCGTCGAAGCTCTCTGCTGGAAAGCAAAGCAACCATGTCCAACGAGGAGCATCATCTTGAGTCCAGCGACGCCGGAGCTTCCATAATCAACCATGGCGTTTATAGGGGTTGTCACTGATTTATGAACCTTTTCTATTATAATTTATGTGACCCTCTCAATCTCTTTGTCATGAGCTTCTTCTTCTTCATCTTCTTCTTATATGTTCTTTTTAGAGTCTTTCTTTACTCAGAGACTATCTTGTTTTTGGGTTTCTCTAGCTGCTTTGGGATATTTAAAATGTTAGTTATTATAAATGTCATCTTCACGTCTGTAACCTTTGTCCTTTCATGTTTTTGGCTGCCCCCAAATGTGAACGAGTTCCACCCATGAATCTAACCTTTTATGCGCGCCAAGTCTTTACTCGTGCGTTTGTGTCGAGAGACGTATAAGCAATTACTATATAATAGAATAATGGAGTCTAAAATTATTGAAATATGCTAAACAAACCTCGAAAAGTATCAGTTTTATAATACTGGTATTTGGATATGAAACTTGAAAAGTAAAACTAAACGTTCTATACATTCAGTATGGGAAAAAATATATACGAGTAGTTGATAATCGTTTAAAACTCAAGAGTTCCCTTTTACTACATATAATCAAAATAAAAAAATGTAAAACATTTGTCCAAAAAAAAAAAAATGTAAAACAAAACTTGACTTAAGAAGATAAACAATGAAAACAAGTATAATCTTATACTATAAACGAAGCTGTAATAAAACTGTTGTGTGTTTTTAGATCAATTTTTTTATTATTATTGTAGCAATCACATCTGATCTCTTTGTTGTTGGTAATAAAATGATTAAACTGGTGTATTCAAATCATACAGGCAACGTGTGTCCCACAATTAATTATAAGAATGTTTAATATTAAGCTCTCATGCCAAAAAGTCAAATGTCTCTTCAAAAAAAGTCATGTAGCCCAGTTTACTCATCTCACGTTTCCTCCTATTACAAATATACACCCAAAAGTCCACTAAACACAACCAAAATTGATTAATGCTATTAGTATAGTATACAAAAAGTTCATTTCTTTCACTTCAACAAAAACAAAAATTACAGAAATAGCATATCAAAAACAAATTATATGTATTTTAACACTGTTTTATCATCATCATCATCAGTCGAATCACACAAGGAAAAATCTTGTTTTTGTATAAAGAAAAAAAAACACAGCTCTCATGTTATTATGATGATGAGGCTTATATTCGAAAGCCCATTAAGACACGAAAATGGGCTTTAAAAAAAAACGGAATGATAGTTGTCATAATGTGATTCGTACAACGTGGAGTAGCAGCAAGTGGCCATGTCCGGCTGTCCCAGAGCCCTCTCTCTTCGATCCAGGTTCACCGTACATTACAAATTACAAGACCGACGCTTTTTTTTTTTTTTTTTGGTATGTAGGTGAAACCTAAATTTTGATCTATTTGGTACAATTATTTTTTGTTTTGGTTTTGCTTTGACTGAGGTATTCAGATTTTTTGTTTGCTTTGCTATGCTTTTTTTTTTTTTTAATAAAAGGATTAAAAACAAATAATTCTAGATTAGTCTCGGTAACCTTATGTTGTCGTGGTGGGATTAGTAGTAGTAATCATTTCTTAACATGTAAAAAATTACAATTCTATGAATTTGTGTAATTCATTTACCATGAGCTCTTTAAATGATGTATATCTTTGTTTTATTAATAAAGAAAGTATACATATTTTTTAAATAGAAAAATAAAGATAAAAATACATACATAATTAATAAGACCAAAATCTAACATTTCAATTCATAAATGTACCTGTAAATAAAACTGTACAAAACGACAGAATATCTATTGATCTTAAAAATTATAGTATTTTATTCCAATTTTCTACTGACTCCTTATAAAATGGAATTCACATTTATGTCTGAACTTTATTCAAAAAAAAAGTAAATCTAACTTGTCTGAACATTACTACTCAAATAAACCATATTATTAAGAACTTTTTACACACTTTGACAAAAAAAAAAAAAGAGAAATAGCTTTGTTTAAGATTACACATATCTGCAGCGTGGACTTTCTACTGCGAACCCAAAAAGAGTTTTTAATTTATCTTTCTTAAGTTTCCAGATCCGTTTTTAATACCAGAGAAGGACAACAAAAAAAAAACTCGAAATCTCCATTAAAAGAGAACTGATAGATTAGATATTAAAAAGAACACAAAACAAAACGGCGAAGGCACAAAAAAAAAAAAAAGGTGAAGCGAAACACGACACGGATTCACACAGATATATACAAAAAGGATTTTTTTAGATTTGAGAACCCAAAAAAAAAAAAGTTTCCTTTTTTCTTCTCTGTTTTTGATTGATTAATTGGGTTGTTGGGTTTTTCTCTTTTTGGAGATCGATGTCGGAAAAGGAAGAAGCTCCGTCGACATCGAAGTCCACCGGAGCTCCGTCGCGTCCTACTTTATCTCTTCCCCCACGTCCTTTCACTGAGATGTTCTTTAACGGTGGCGTTGGATTTAGTCCTGGTCCGATGACTCTCGTCTCTAATATGTTCTCTGATTCCGATGAGTTTAGGTCTTTCTCTCAGCTCCTTGCTGGAGCCATGGCTTCTCCTGCCACTGCTGCTGCTGCTGCTTCCACGGCTACTGATTACCAGAGAATTGCTGAAGGGAATAATAATAACCATAGCAGCTCGAGTGGTGGTGTTGATGTTGACCCGAGATTCAAGCAGAGCAGACCCACCGGTTTGATGATTTCTCAATCTCAATCTCCCTCGATATTCACCGTACCGCCTGGTTTAAGTCCGGCCATGCGCCTCGATTCACCTAGCTTTTTGGGTCTTTTCTCTCCCGTTCAGGTAGCTTTAAGATTCATCTTTTCAATTTTGCTTTTTCTTTGTTTTTTTTTGGTTTCGTTGAAAAATTTAAAAATCTATTTATGGAAACTGTGTTGTTTGTGTCTTTCTTTGTTGAGCTGTTTCTTGTTTTTTTGTTTTGTTGGCGCTGGTGAGAGAAGAAAATAATAACACACGTATTTGTTAGCAAATCTTTAGGTATATTCCAACAAATTCTAGATTTTGTAACCATTTTGCTGGAATCGTTCTTAAGTCAAAATTGGAGGTTATGAGATTTTTAGATTGATTTAGGGCTTCTTAGAGATTTGGGGATTTCTCCTAAAGGAAGGAACTTTTGCAACTCAACTGTATTGAAAAGATAGGACGTTTCAGACAAAAAAAAACAAAAGGAGGAGCTTGTGGATCAAATACTCAAGGTTCCTCAGTAAGGTTTCCTGGTGCCATATTCGATATCATGTTCTTATGATCTGATATGTTTGATTATGGAACAATATGCTGTCTTTAGTCGAAATGGATCCTTTAAAACAGCTCTTTGCTATATTCTCTTTTGATTTGGTTATATAGTTTTTGACTTGGGGGTTACTAGCAGGTTTCGTTTCTCTGGCTATACTTTTTCTTGACTCTGAATCTGTTTTACCTGTTTTGATGAGTGCTCGGATTTTTTTCGTTTTCGCGGTTCTTGTTCTAACCTGGAATGTCACAATGTGCAGGGATCATATGGAATGACACATCAGCAAGCTCTAGCTCAAGTTACTGCTCAAGCAGTTCAAGCCAATGCCAATATGCAACCACAAACCGAGTACCCTCCTTCCTCTCAAGTTCAATCATTTTCATCGGCTCAAGCTCAGATCCTAACCTCGGCTCCACATTCTTCAGTACCAGCTCAAAGAGAAACCTCAGATGTAACCATCATCGAGCACAGGTCACAACAGCCTGTAAATGTTGACAAACCAGCTGATGATGGCTACAACTGGCGAAAATATGGGCAAAAGCAAGTTAAAGGCAGTGAGTTTCCTCGAAGCTATTACAAGTGCACGAATCCAGGATGTCCTGTCAAGAAGAAGGTTGAGAGATCTCTTGATGGACAAGTAACGGAGATCATCTACAAAGGTCAGCACAGTCATGAACCTCCTCAAAACACTAAGCGAGGAAACAAAGATAGCTCCGCGAATCTAAATGGGAGTTTGATAAATAACAATCGTGGGAGTTCTGAATTGGCGGCGTCACAGTTTCAAACCAATAGCTCCAACAAGACTAAGAGAGAGCAACATGAAGCAGCTAGTCAAGCTACCACAACAGAGCACATGTCTGAGGCCAGTGACAGTGAAGAAGTCGGTAATGGAGAAACCGGAGTGAGAGAGAAAGATGAAAACGAGCCTGATACCAAGAGAAGGTAAAATTATAAGCTCTATTGATGATTGATTATAATTCAAATTTTCAGTTTTTTGATGAGTGAGAGTTTTGATTATGCAGAAATATAGAAGTTCGGGTTTCTGAACCAGCTGCTGCTGCTTCACATAGAACCGTGACAGAGCCCAGAATTATTGTCCAAACGACTAGTGAAGTTGATCTTCTAGATGATGGATATAGGTGGCGCAAATATGGACAAAAAGTTGTCAAAGGGAATCCTTATCCGAGGTAATACATGAAAAACCATCGATTTGTCTAGCTATTACACTCTTTAAAAGGTGGAATCCGGTGATCAATAAAGCTTATGCCCTATAACATTGTGTTATCTTTTTGATCCTTAGGAGCTACTACAAGTGCACAACACCAGGATGTGGAGTGAGGAAACATGTAGAGAGAGCAGCAACAGATGCAAAAGCTGTGGTAACAACATATGAAGGAAAACATAACCATGACCTTCCAGCAGCTAAATCAAGCAGCCATGCCGCTGCAGCGGCACAGTTAAGGCCAGATAATCGACATGGCGGTTTGGCCAACTTAAATCAGCAGCAGCAGCAGCAGCCCGTTGCGCGTCTAAGGCTTAAAGAAGAGCAAACAATTTGAGAAAAGAAAAACAATCTCTGACCTTTTTCATGATAAAGCTTTCAAACCCCACTCATACACTTGTCTGAGAAATCTAGCTGTTTGCAGGAAAGAAAGAGCTTCAGAAGGGGTTTGTTATTCTATGTTCTGGTGTAAAACTTAAGAAGCTCTTTAGGTTTTCAGGTTTCTGTTTTACTAATATGTGAATTCTTTTGTACATGAGGAAGGAAATTACAGGGGGATATTTTGTGTTGTATCTTTGTGTTATTGTTTCAGTAAAGGATAGGTCTTACATTTTGTGGATGAAATTATAATCTTGTAATATCAAACTGTGTTTTCTTTTATTTATTATCAATAATATTATCACATAATGGCTAATGACACAAATTTTGCTTTCTATAGCTCATTCACTCGTAGTCATATACAGAGAAATTGTTGTTTCTAAAGGGTTTTTGAATAATGGAGTAAGAACTTGTGACGTTTGTACAAATGAATCTTTTTCATGAGATTAATAATTTCTGGAGTAGATATGGTTTTCCAAAAAAGACATTGATATTTTCTTCTTCTTTAGTCTCTAAAATACAAATATATGAAAAGGTTCTCTGTTTTAAATTTTTGTCTCTTTGCTCTCCCCATTGATTGATTGATTGGTTGATCCTTCACTCTCTCACTGTGTTATTTTGTAGTGAATCACATCAGAAAGCCCATCATTGTTTGTTAGTTAAAAGAGTTGGAATCTGTCCGTGATTCACGAAATCAATCTTGTTCAGCCTGACACAACACAGTACTTGCTCTGGAAGTTCCTCTGGTGATTGAGCCTGTGTCAGAAAGAACAAAAAGCTTACTTGAGAAACACTCCAATAAAGTAAGACCTACCAAAACAAAGTGTTCTTGGGAGAATTTTTCAAGTACCTGAATAGTTAAACCCAAATCAAGAATCCCATTCTTGATCCTATCCCTGAAAGATTCGAGTCCTTTCCTCGATATGTAACTGAATCTATGTATATCCAAATCGATCTCAAAGTAGTTTGGTCCCTGTCCAAATGATCAACACACAAACACACACACGGGCACATAGCATTAACCACAAAGCTCTGTAAATGAAATCTAAGATAATATCTATGAAAACGAAAGAAAGAGCTGTTATCTAACCCGAAAGAAATCGTGTTGCGGACGAGAAAGAACCGGTTTATCGTTGTATGCTGTGATAAGTTTTCTCTCAGTAGAACTTAGCTGAAGATCCTCAGGATTTACCAAACCGGCCAGGATCTTTAACCTCTCTCTGAATGGAACTGTTGATTCTCTCGTGAATCCTTTCACTTTCTCCATTTCATCTTCCATGAATCTCTACAAAAACCAAATCTTTTAAAATCTCTTTATAGAAACGTCATAGCCGTTGGATAGGATCCATCATCATCATCATCATACCTTTATGGTTTCTTGAAAGTGAGATGAGATTTCTTTGTGATAATTCTCATTCAATTTGAAGTATAAGACTAAGCTAAGTCCTTCACCATCATAGTCACCAAACATAGAGGTTGCATACATTGGAAGCTGGATGTTCACAATCAAGAGATTGGGGATATCACAGACTTGTGATGATGTCGGTTTCAAATTAGGGAGCTCAATGTGCTGAGCAATGTGGTTGATCTTCTTAGGACACGCGAAAAGATCGATTCCAATTGGTATGTAAGGACTACAGTTTGGTGCAGGACTCTTTTGCTTGTCTCTGCAGATGATTTACACAATACGATTAAGAGTGGATACAAAAACTGTTTGTCTACTTTCTTGATCTGAAATTTGAATCCTAACCTGAAGAAATTCAATCCACGGAGCTTGAAACTAGAGGGAGAAAGTTCTGACCAGCTTCCTTGACTACTTAGCTTCTCTCCCAAAGAACGTTGAATCACAGAACCGGCTTTTGGACGGTACAAGAGCTTCTCACCTGAAGCTGATACAAGATCATTAGAAGAAAGTTAAAAAGATTTAAACTTATAAAGACTTTGTTCCTTTTTCTTCTTACAGAAATCAGATGCTCTTGATTTGCTATCGATAGATGTTCTTCGCACAGAAACCATAACAACTTTTGATGACTTCTTCCTGTGATCTTGATGATCTTCACAAGTGGTACTCTTGAAAGTTTCATGGTGAGATTCATCAGCCACTTGGTTTCTCTTTATGCTAACTTCATTCTTGCTTGAGTATGTCTCTGATTTGTTTCCATCTATTTTCAGGTAACTCTCGTAGAACTCTTCATACTGAATCACTTGTCCCATTGCAGAAGCATTTGCATCTGCACAAAAAACAAGATCATGTTTTCAGACAATCACAAACCAATATGTCTCTAGATTTATCGAGCTGCTAATTTTTTACCTTCAAAGACACTACTATTTGAACCATCATCAGAATCAGAATCGATGTAGCTAAAGGAATCGTACCAAGCTTCCTCATGTGATATTCCTGGAAATAGAAAAAAAGACTAATCAAGATTCAAGAAAACACATTTTTAGAAAGAAAAAAAAAACAGAATCAAGATTGTGAGAATGTTGGTCTTACGGTTTCCATCGATTTGGCTGCAGTTCCATTGAAGCTGAGTTACATGGAAGTTAGCGTTAGACATCTCAGCTCTCTTACACATCATCTTGGCAGCACAGTTGTCGAAATCAAGATGAACATATTCGCTCACTGCAAAATCCCTAACACTCGCATTACTCATGCGTTTCATAGGAACATCGGGCATCGAAGCAGATATTTTGGACCGACATTTGCCAGATCGGCCACGTCTATGCTTCTTCTGTTGAAGCTTGTTGTTGAGCTTTCTCTGAGAAGAAACGCAGCCACCCATTCTTTTTTTTGAAGACTACTACTTCATTCACCAGCTAAGCTATATAAAAAAAAAAAAAATTCTGTAAGGAATCTGTTGAAAAACATTCAAGAGACATATATAATAAGAGACTACAAGAAGACCATTACCAAATATCTTGTCTGAAACGAAAATCAAATGCCAAAAAAGATTTGAATATTGCACCTTTTTGAAAAAAATCTTCCAGAGAGGTCACTCGTAAGAACTGATCTTCTTCACAAAAGAGAATGCATCAACAACATTCATAACAATGGGATGTTGATTCATGTATCTTCAAGACCTTCATAGAGGAAACAAAAAAAAAAAATAGAATGAGGTTTTGTATTTTCAGATATTTGTGGCCTAGTTGGTTTGAAATACATATTATTTTAAAATAAGCAAATCATCGATAACATCAAACGCAACAAATGCAGCCATTTGAAACGTGAAAGATAAGAAAGAAAAATCTTGAAAACACAATTAAGCATTGTTTTTTTTTTAAATTGGAGATTAATCCAAAACTCAAATCATTTGTTAACCAAAACATAAAATACTTCAGACCCATTTTTTTTATTATCAAATCAAGAAAACAAACCAGAAGAAGAAGAAGAACAGAGGAAGGGGGGGAAAGAACAGAGGAAGAAGAGGATCCTTGGGGGGGAAAAAGAATCCTCTGTTTTCGTCTATCTTCTTCTCTGCCTCTCTCTCTCTCTCTCTCTCTTTTGTCTCTGTGTCTTTTTTTCGTGTCAATAAAGAAGAAGAAATAAAAGAGAGATAATTAAGACAAGATTAAGAACCCGTAAACACTCTGTTTCTCTAAGTAACCCGTTTTCCTCGGATCCTTCCCCTCTAAAGTCTTCTCTTCTTCCCCGTTTAAATCTCTCTGTTTCTTTGTCTCTCTTCTCTCTCTCTCTGCTTTTAAATAAATATGAATGTATATATTTTCTTCTCCATCTTAATGATTATTTTCAAAGTAAATTTGGGATTCTGATTAATCGGGTTTTAATTACATTACAGAACATATGAGTTTTTTATATATATAACAGCACGTGTCGCCATTTATGGTAAAGTCTTCTTAATTTCTTAACCTCTCTTTAAGACCGTGTCTTCTTCCTCATCGTTGTGTACACAAACCTTTTCACCCGATCTTTAAGGAAGGAATACAATTTTGTCCACAACATGTTACATGTATTCAATAGTTCTAACAAATTTTATTCAGACTTAAGAATTTTAAAAAGTTAACGTTAACCTGAACGTAAATATATATATAGATACTGATGATGAAAACAATGTCTAATTAAGATCGTCGGGACACTGAAGTAACATTTTCTTTATAAACGAAATTAGAGAAGATTCGTATGTGGAGTTCTCGAGGATCACATGCTTAATGTATACGGCATGTCCTAATATGTGTTAGAAAAATGTCCTAAAACGTCGTTTATAATCCAACCAGTACTGTAATATATGTTTCTAGCTATTGTTATATATCACGCAAAATTTTCATCCCAGCAAAGTTAGCTAAGTTAATGCATGTTGCCCTATGAAGGGTTTGTGGGATTTTTCATTTTTGTATGGAACCAGATCATATAGAAGTTATTAACTATTAGTTTCATAATACACACACATAGGTACTCCGGGGAAAAGAAAATGGTACACTTTCGTGGTTCGTTTACAAAAAAATAGTGATTTGATGTGCAATTACAATGTTGTTGTCATGATGGAAATAAAGTTATGTCGTTGTACAATACAGTTTGTCATTTATTTTCTTAATCTAATCATTCGTAATAGATTAATTGAACATTTTACATAAAGCCGTCTTAGGAATACAATAAACTATACTAAAAACAATATTAAGATACAAAAAAAAAGTTAATAAAAAGCCATTAGTTAGTTCAAAGTCCTTTTCTTAGGAGAGTAAATTAGTCTACGGAGATTCATTCTCATCAGTCATCATTGATTATTATTATTTTTCTTCCAGTTGAAGCTGTTCTATGAAAGAGACGTAATTACCTGATTCTCTGTGTTTTGTGGAACAAATGAAATTTATTTAACTAAAACACACAACTGTATAATTGCAACGAAAACTATTTAAAACTTTTAGACTAATTTCACTTTGATTTATATATGTGTTCTTTCTTTTGTTGCTAATTGTTACATTACATCTATTACATGTCACTTCCGATTAAACTAGATGGTAACGAGCTAATATTAATATCTTAAATTTTCATTTGCAGATACAGTATGTATTCTGTTGCATCCAATCCTATTTAGACAATAGTATAAATTCCTTTTTTAGTTAAAAATGACGTAATTGTAAAGAAAAAGACTCAACAATTGGATTCTTGTTTATTTCAACTATGCTATTGACGACGGCTCGTATTTTATGATCTTACTTTCTATAACAAAAGCAAAGAAAAGATTATCAAAAATAAGATACCACCAGAAAAGAAATAAAAATCATTTCCGAAAAAGCAAGAATAATTCAGCAAATCCAATTAGTCATACTGATATACCAAACATGTCCTGAAAAAAACTAGTTCATGTATTCAAACCTTTTAATGAGAATAATAATTATTATCATTATAGCATGTAGAAAAAGAATAAACAAGAATTGTTTCTGGACAAAAGATTTATGTAGGCTTTTTTATTTTATTTTTTGGTATTATTCTGATTCTTCCCCAAGTTTACCATTGTTAAGTTTTAAAAAAATCTCTTACATCTAGTTGATTATATAAAAACTAGTAATATTTTTTCCCCCCATTATAACTCTTCCGATCATAAAAAAAAAACTTAGGGATAATAAATATTAATAAGAAGAAAACTTGTTAGAACCCATTGAGGGAGGCTATATTTTTTTCTCACCCAAAAGATACAAAAATAGGTTGGTAAGATAATAACATTTGGGTGCACTTTTTCCTAGCAAATTAAACTAGGTCTAGTTTTAATAATGGCAATACATAAAGAGATCAGATTAAATGCGACATCCACTTTGTCCAACTTACCATAGTAATTGTCAGATGTTTTATAATAACCACGATTGGTTTTGTTAGGGTTGCTGAGACCTGATCATATGAGTACAGTCTCTACAAGTAAGAACGTAACTACAATTATAATTGATTACATAGACACACTGTACGTATATTAACACATTATACCATACACCAATATAACTAATTAAAGTCTAATTGAAATAATTATAAGCTAATTGCTACTGGAAAAATAAAAATTGCGCTGAGGAAGGTCTTTGCCAAAATAGTGCTACATGTTAATTAGAAGAAGAGAGGAAGATGATATATTTAACTGGTGAAGCATTAAATTCCAGTTAAGAGGTTTGGGCAGATGTAAGTGTAGTAGTTGGTACTTGAGACTTGACTTACACACACCAAATCAAAACGTATATACACTTACATGATGTCACACCATAATTTACTTAACACAAATTTTTATTGAAAACTCCAACCATACCAACCTGATTCGTACTAGCTTAATTTTTCTTTGATCTATTATTCCAAACCTTAAGTTCTAACTAATATTTGGTTAATATTCCAAATCATGATCCAAAATGTATATGTATTTTTCGTTTCAATCTCAAGTATACACCACGCGGTTCAATTTATATGGCAACACATCAATTTTAATACTCTAGTAGAAAGGAACTAAACTACTACTATATATAATAAGTCTCATTAGTTTGCTTTATGTATTCTCTTCAAGCTTTCTAATGCTAAACTAGAAACTATTTATTCGATTTTATACATATTATTTATTCGAAACTTTATAATATACAGAGACCGGTGCAGTTTAGTAGTTAGTGGATACCATACATATCATGATACAAGTTAATACTATAATTAGGAAGTAGATACGTTCCAAACACAATACTCGAACGTGTGTATACCTTAGGAAACATTTGCCAACTGGCTACTCTGTTTTATACCAAAAGTCTAGATATCTATAAATCTAGGGGTGGATGTAATGATTAGTACCATATACTTATATATGTTTGATACTCAAAGTTTATATTCAGTTATATATTAATTACATGGATGTACGTAATTAATGTCAATAGAAAACAAAGATCTCTCGTAAGTTAATATCTAATCAATTTGAAAACATTTTTATTTTTACCCAAAAGTTATGTCATTTGTCATCTATTTAGTAAAAATACCAGACGCTTTTCGTCCACAACCTATAAACAGAGCTTAGCTATTTAGATATTTTTATAGTTAATGATGATGACGAATCATAGATTGCTAAACATACTATATTATATATGGTTATAAAATGATTGTTCATTTTTCTTTGACACTAATTAAACATGAAAGAGACATGTCCTTCGAGTGCAAGAATACCTAAAACAGACAAAGCAATAAGTCTATGACATATCTTATTGTGTTATACTAATTCCTTACATACGTTTATGTTGGACAAGTTAGTACTACATATATTAGGTTTACGTATTTTTCCGTTATAAAAACTCTTAAGAAAAGTATTGTCTCCCACTATCCCATTAGGACAAACTGGCAAAAGGCAACCACCTCAACAACATCAAAGAACAAAGAATTATTCAACTGTTCTCCACAATTTATATCATATATTTAAAACTATATAGTAGGAGTACTTTTCTAAACTATATAGTAGGAGTACTTTTCTAAATTTAAATTGATTGATTTTGTTTTTCCATTTTCTGAAAATGACAAATGTGATATGATTGGTGGGGGAAAAAACAAAACAAATTTATATAGTGAGGTGAGTAAAACAAAGTCATTGCTCTAATTGCTCTAAGGTATCATAAATTGGGCCCGTATAAGCCTGTTACAGGCCCATTTGTAGTATACATGGTCATGAAGTAAAAAGCTTTAGATATTTTGGGGGTCTAGAGCATCAATATCATGAATTACAGACCCTTCTACAGTAAAACCTCTAAAAATTAATAATGTTGGGACCATGAAAATCTATTAATTTATAGAGGTATTAATTTATCGATAAATTAATAATTATTATAGAGAGATTTTCCTACTTTGAAAGTTTTTTTCAGAAAAATATTGAAAAATGAGATTTAATCATGATAATTAGTATTTTATATAATCAATTACAAAGAAAATAATAATTATTATATCTTGAAAGAGAATGCCAACAATTTTTGATATAATAAAATATTAGAAATAAACTCTAACAAAAACTAATGTGTCTATATATACATATATTTTGAAAATTTTACCTAATTATTAATTTATAATATTATTGGGACCATATAGTTACAAAGGATTTTTAAAAAATTATTATCTTATTATTTTATCGAAATATGTATAAAATTACACTAGTCCCAGCTTGGGACCGGAGAAATTTATTAATTTATAGAGATTATTAATTTATCGAGTATTAATTTATAGAGGTTTTACTGTACATAGAAATATGACTATTTGGCCAGACAAGGGTGTTTTCGTAAATTCTATCACTTACTTCTTTTTTTCTTTTTTTTGCTTTCTTCGCCTTTTGCTCCCTCCCCGAGATTTTCCGATCGTGCTTTCCTCAAAAGCATTTCTGTTTGTCGTCGTCGGAGCCCGACGACAGATCTTTGAATCGCTGGAGATTTAGTAAGTAAATCTACAGATCTCGTTTCCTTGAACTTCTTCTTCGTTTACTATTTGTTTCCATCGTTCCTTCGTTGTGCATTGATGATGTTTGTAATGTTTTACTAGAATCTAAGTCAGAAGTTATCTCTCTCTCTCTGTTACTCAGTTTTTGAACTAGATTTCCATTCTTGCGTCGAACGAGTTTCTTCTTCTTGTTGATTCGCATTGCTGGTGTTTTTCCTAAATTCTGAGATTTAGCGAGACCTGTTTCG